GTTTCTCTTTCGACAATGTTCCCCCATCAAAATGGAGAGATAAAATCTACGAGATGCATGCATGGCTCACCGAACAACTGCTCAACCCAGGAGCTACTCTCCCTACAGTAATAGACAAGCTAATCTCCAAATTCCATGGTCGTCTCAGACAGTGGTGGATCAGCCTTGGAGATTACAGACAGCTACGGATCCGCCAATCTCAATCGGTGGATACTGTGATTGGAATTGACGATGTCAATCACAAGCAGGCGTACTTGAACTCACTTCCAGAATCTCTTGGAAATGAGACATCTCGAATATTATCCCTAAAGAATATGACTCTAAGTCAAGCTTCTTTGGGAGAAATATACCAGATCTCGCTTGCAGCCCTCAAAAAGCTATGCAACCACCAAAAGTTCTTCAAACAGCTGCAAGAACAAGGAAAACTACTTGGAAGAGCATGTGACCGTCCAGAGCTCTCCATCAAATGCAAAACAAAAAGGTGTGGATGTTCTACGAGCTATAAACAGGAGAAAAAATCCAGAAACAAATGGCAAAAGAGGTATCCCAAGTTATTTGGTGGAAAGAAATGGAAATTCTTCAGGAGAAAGAAACAAAGAGGCTACAAGAAATCTGACATATGCTACATCTGCAAAAAGAAAGGACATTATGCAAAACAGTGTCCAAATAAGAAGAAGAGGGATAATCTCCTTGGATATCTAGCCCAAGTAGAAGACATTGATGACTCAGACATCGAGTCTATCTTCTCTCTTGATGATGAACCAACTGATGATGCAGTCCTTGCAATGGGAATCGAGCATGATGATGAATTCTCAGAAGAATCTGAAACCGAAGAAGAAGAGGATGCCGACGACCAATTCATACTTTTTGATCTCTACACCCTAGACTCATGCAAGGTTGAAGAGTCAAAAGAAGCAGATTTGGCGTGTGTATCCCAACCAGCTCCAAATGCCAAGATCTACATCTTTCCTACCAAATACGATAAGCCTATACCGGTGATAGCCTTCTTCGATACAGGAGCTGCGTCTTCAATCATCAAACCAGATATACTCCCATCAACCCATTGGGATCGGTGTTCAGTGGCCTTCAAAGCAGCCAACGGGCAGATATTAAACATCTCCCTCATCAGTAAGCCCATCCATATCCAATTATTTCCAGGATATATGGTTAAATCTAAAGTATATGGGTCTGATTTTCCGGGAAAAGACTTCATACTTGGATTTGATATCCTCCATAGCCTTAAAAGAGTATATTGGCACCCAAAAGGCCTTAAACACAAAAACCACCTGTTACCATGGACAACCATTTCCCATTTTTACCCCATGAAACTCCTGAACCCCATGAGATTACCAAGACCTCTTGTGCCAGTTCTCACTCAGAATTCCTCACCAAATGTTCTTCACCCCTATGGCAAAATCCAGACTTCTTCATATCCTTGCCATTCAAGAAAAATGAAGATATCAATCCCACAAAGGCTAGTAATCTAGGGATGAATCCAGATCATTATACTCTGGCACTTGAAGAAGTAAACCTACTCCAAAAGGAAGGTCTCATCGAAAAAACAACTTCACCATGGGCATGCGAGGCTTTCTACATCAACAAAAGGGCAGAACAAGTCCGAGAAAAATTGAGGTTAGTCATCAATTACCAGCCACTCAATCACTTCCTTGCTGATGACAAGTTTCCATTACCGAAGCGAGAAGTCTTATTCTAAAGGCTCCCACAAGCACAAGTCTTCTCAAAATTCGACTTAAAAGCGGGATTCTGGCAACTGGGAATCAAACTGGAGGATAGACCTAAAACAGGTTTTTGCATACCAGACCGTCATTTCCAATGGAAGGTTATGCCATTTGGATTAAAGGTGGCCCCATCGTTATTTCAAAAGGCAATGACCAAAATATTCGAGCCAATACTTCCAAATGCACTGGTATACATCGATGATATCCTCTTGTTCTCTCTGGATATCGACTCCCATACCCGACTACTAGAGAAATTTCACAAGATCGTCCAACAGTATGGCATCATGCTCTCCGAGAAAAAGATGGCCATTAGAGAGACAGAGATAGATTTTCTTGGCATGCATATCTCAAAAGGGCAATACCACCTACAGCCTCACATTGCAACACAGCTCAACAAATTCCAAGACGACAAGCTCTCTTTCAAACAAGTCCAACAATTTCTTGGAGTTGTCAATTACATGGTGGAATTCATTCATGGTTTAGCAAAGTACAGGTCAATCCTTTCAACACAGCTAAAGAAAGATGCTCCTCCATGGGACGAAAGATGTACAGAAGCAGTAAAAGAGCTGAAACGGATCTCAAAGACTCTACCCTCATTGAAGATCCCTTCTAAAAGGAAAAGAATCCTACAAACTGATGCAAGCAACTGCTATTGGGGTGCTGTTCTCTTAGAAAAAGAGGAAAAAGGAAAAAGAAGCATTTGTGTATACAAAAGTGGTGTTTTCAAAGACATTAAAAAGCACTACCATTCTACTTACAAGGAGATACTTGCAGTCAAGAAGTTCGAGTTCCACCTAGTCGGACAACACTTTCTTATCAAAATGGACATGTCCTCGTTCCCAAAGATGATTCAGTTCAAGCAAAAGATCTTGCCACAAGCACAATTACTTAGATGGGCAAGTTGGTTTTCACAGTGGAAGTTTGACGTGAAGCACAACAATGGAAAAGACAATTTTCTCCCCGACTTCCTATCCAGAACACAAAGACAGATTTCAGCTGTCATACCGATGATATGCACTCTCACTCCAACCGAAGAGTCCCTGAGGAACATGATTGCAAAGATGCAACAAGGAATACAAGAAAAGATACTAGAGACTGCTCTAGTCTATCAAGGATGTGAGAAGCTCCATGGATTCTTGAAGCTCTATGTCTACAGGTACGGTCTAGACCAAGGGCCACTCCTTCAGCTACCTTATCATCCGGTATTCCCTTTCCTTACTACAATAGAGTTAAACCCAACTCACTGTGGTAAATTTCCGCAAGAAGCGTATTTCCTGTTATGGTACCTAGCGGAACTGTACACCATTGGAGTACTCATTGACAAAAGCAGATTACTTTTGTATCTGGCAAAGTGCTTTCTGACAAGAAGGAAAGAGCACTACAAGTTGTTGTACAAGTGGCTCACATTGTTCCACGATGTGACATGGTGGCAAGAGAATATTCGAGCACGAGAAGGATACAAAGTCTTAGTCACTTTCAACATCATCACAAAGCAATAACAACAAGAAGACGGAGTCATAATTCAGAGAGAATACAAAGCCCAGATCCAGACAAGTTATAATGATGATCCTTTTGACGGGGATAATTTTCACATAAGGACAAGAAACCTGGCAGCGATAAATCACATTGAAGAATCTGAAATTGACCCACAGTTATTTTGTCCTCACACTGCAAACTGGCACAACAGGGATGCTTATCCACATGACTTTATTGATGAAATACGACAAAGTCTGGCAAGCTTCCATGATCACTACGCATGGCCACAAGATGATCCTGACCATCCAATCTACAGAGTTGAAGGAAAGAAGTACACAATCAAAAGGTATATCCTGGGCTACAAAATCTTCATAACGAAGATAGTTTCTGACAGCGAAGAAGACGACAAGGATTCAGACTTCAGATAAGGGAGAATCTACCTCTCTTTTGGAGACAGGGGGAATAATAAATAATGATGCACATGTTGATTAAGAAAAGCATCATAATCCATATGTTAAATAAGAAAAGAATAAAATATTTATGCATGAGGAAGTTAGGTATTCACATGCTAAATAGCTCTAAGTTAGGTATCCACATGTGTAATAATCTTAAGTTAGGTATCCATTGTATCACTATAAATAAGAGGCTTGGATGCTTGTATAAACCAAGCCAAGTCCTGTAATCGAGTCTGAGAGAAAATCTCGAGTGTCCTTGTAATTTGTGAGTGTTCCATATAAATAAAATATCCCCCTTTGTATAATCATCTCTTCCATACTTTAAATACCATTTTTAATACTCTTGATCCTTATAAACCTTCTTTGTGATTGTACCCACTATGTGTTTGTAAAGTTGTCTCCCCACCAACTTGCTCATTGTCCTCAATGAGCACTTGTCCAGGTTCTCTCTCTGGTAATTCCTTTGCACTTCTAAGATTTATAGCATTGTAATACTCCTTTGGGTTAGGCTCAGGTTTACCAGGTAGAGTGCCTTGGTTTCTTGAGGTAGAGGCTTGATTCTGCCTTAACTCCTTGATCTCTTGTGGCATTACAGGATACTTTGAACCCAAGTCTGAAAAACCACTCTCAACCCTCTACTGACCCTGAAGAATCTGCTGTAACACTCCACACAACTCCGGCCCCATCTGTTGCTGATTCTGAACCGGCGGCTGCTGACCCAACTGATGCTGACCCAATTGGCGGGTATTTCTGCTGTTGAGGCTGGCTAGTGAAGTTGCTCCCCTGAATCAGTTGTTGTGGCTCTCCATAGCTTTGTTTCTGCTGAGCAAACTGCTGTTTAGGTTGAAAGTTCCCCTGATAGTTGTTTTTGTGAACAAAACACTGCTGACCCTGAGGAAGATGATAAACTTGATTTTGAGGATTAGCCACATTGGGATTCCTATATGAGAGGTTTTGGTTTGAGTTGAATTTGTTGAACATCTGATACTTATTCTGATTACCAATGTAGTTTATCTCCTCTTGAGTGAGGCCATCTTCATTGACATTTTCAAAGCATGGGGGTTGATCTTCAAATTCTCCAACAAAGTGCTTGCTTTGAAGCTCTCTAATGTCCTTCTCCATCCTCAGCTCTTTGCTGGATCTCTCACTTCTATTTGACCTGTCTAAGTCGACCCTATAAGTACCATTACTCATGACTAGATTTTCCACAAGTTCCAATGCAGCATTGATCTCTTTACCCAGAAAATTCCCATTTGAAGCTGTGTCTAGCTGGTTTCTGATCTTGGGTAGTGCTCCTATATACAGTGTGCTCAAGAGTGATGCCTCTGAATACCCATGATGTGAACATTGGTTGGTGTAACTCCTAAACTCTCTCCCAAGCTTCCCCAAACCTTTCATTTTTCTGCTGGGTAAAGCTTGATATCTGGTTTCTCAGCTTTGCAGTCCTTGAGGTAGAGAAGAACTTAGACAAGAATGCAAGCTTGCACTGCTCCCAAGTTTTGATGGATCCTCTAGGCAGATTCTTTTTCCACTGATGTGCCTTGTCTCCCAACCTGAAGGGAAACAATCTAAGCTTGAAACTGTCCTCAGACACACCATTGATCTTTGTTAGATTACATACCCTGTCAAATTGATCCAAATGCTCCAAGGGATCCTCCATTGGCAGACCATGAAACTTAGAGTTCTGAACCATGTTGAGTAAAGAAGCCTTCACCTCAAAAATATTTTTCTGAACCGGTGGAGCCTGAATCCCTGCTCGGTATTGGTGTGCATTGGCTCTGTTGTTTACACCAACAAACATTTGAGGAGGCTATGGACGCCTTGGAGCTTGTGGCTGGTGCTGAGGAATTTTGTGAGCCTGCTGCTCATTCCTGTTAGCTTGCTGCTGGTTCTGCTGAGCATGGCATTCATTTCTCTATGCCATGTTCTGATTCACATAAGCTTGCTGCTCATTCGTCTGAGCTTGAGCCACATTTACTTAAGCCTGATACTCAGCTTCTTCTACATTCTGTGCCATACCCAACTGCTGAAGATGATCTTCTCCTTATTGATGAGCAGCTCTGTCCCTTTCTCTTTTGCCTCTTCTATCCAGCAGGTGTATGTTTTCAATAAAGGGTTCAGCTGCCTCACAACTCCTGCTCTTAAGGAGGTTATGATAACACCGTATTTTCACCACTTTTATGGATCTTTTTGAAATGTTTTTTTCTATGTTTTTAATTGCTTTCAAATACTTTTATTACGTTTTTCTAGTATTTGTAGTTCCAAGACTCTTTTCAGGTAACTCAGGGAAAAGCTTAACAAAATGGATAGAAAACCAGATTTCAGCTCAGAGTCAAACCGTCAGAAGTTCACCCCTGATTGAAGGCCTTCTCACCGTCTGATCCAGCTCAAATTTGGAGATCTTAAAGATGGAAGTATCAGCTTTCCAGCACACTTTACAGCTTGGCAATCTAACGGTTCAATCAAAAGATACGCGAAGAGCAAGATGTCCCGTAAACCAGCCGGCAAGCGTTTCCACCCGCGGCCAACAAGCAATTTCCCGCGGTCAGAAGCACCGTGACCGCAGCCAGCCATCCATTCCCCGCGGTCACAGCCATCCCGACCGCGGCCAGCCAACTCCAAGCCCGAAGGCCCATTTCTGAAGCCCACAATGATTCCCTCATTTGGAGAAACCCTAAGTGACGTCTAGAGATGTCTTGAGCACTATAAATATATGTTTTAGGAACCCTAAAAGGGAGAACCGAATCATTACCTCATATTTTTCTTATTGTTTTTACTTTAGCTTTTAGGGAGAGAGAGATTTGTGTCTTGAACCCTTGTTCTTTATTTTTTAATTTTGGTTTCTATTCTACTTCTTAATACTATGTTTTTGATTTCGTTCATCATGTCTGAGTAGTTTTATTGTTGGGATTAAGGGATTTTCGATGGGGATTTATATGTTCGATGAGGATTCCATGAGCTTTTGAGCCGAATCTTAGAACTTTTTCTTCTGAATTCGTTTTTACTGCATGAGAGTAGCGTCATGAACTACAATCTGATCCAGATGCTTGGTGACACGAAAGTGTTCGTCCGGTGTCAGATCTAGTTTGGGAGAGCAAAACAAACATAGGAGTGGAAACCTACCCATGGGCGATTTGTGAATGCTGACGAGTCTTAAACATAATGCATCTCTTCTTTTCCAGGGCCAGAGTGGAAACCTACTGGTCAGGGTTGAGAGAGATAGTTGTCTATGATCACGACAGTGGCGTATTCATACGGCCGTGACTCTAGTTCGAAAAGTTTAAGCTAAGATCTTATCAATTTTACTCTCTAGCAATGTTTCGTACCCCTGAGAAAACTTCCCTGAAGCCCAACGCCTTCTTTCCTATAGATTCACACCATTTTTATTTCAAGCTTTAGTTCAATATTCTCATTCCTTTTTAGTCGATTTTCATTTAAGCAATTAGAATATCCATTTTTCTCGTTTTTATTCATTTTCGTTAAGTTTAGTTATTAGGTCATTTTAATTACCGTATTTTCTCTTTAAGATTTGTTTTTACATTTTAAACACACCACCAAAATCCCCACAAAACCGTTTGGTTCTAGACTTCCTTACTTTATATTTCTTTCAAAAGCTTTTGCAGAAAAGATCATCCCTGTGGATTCGATCCCTAAGTACTACAATCGATCAGCTGTGCACTTGCGGCTATTGATTTCATTTAGGGTAAAACTTGACAACCCTCGACACACAACGACAGTACACATCAAGTTTTTGGCGCCGTTGCCGGGGAAGGCACGCGTTTCCTTTTCCGCAAAACCCCGAGAAAGGTTGGTAAATCGACTCTAGAACCCCTTTTCTGCATATTTCCATTTTTTGGTTATTTTGTTTCCATTTCAGAAGATATGGATCCTATAAATCGAAATACACACTATGAGGAAGGTTTCTATAACACTCCTCAAGCCACTAGATGCAGAGAAGAACACCAAGCCCGAAATCTTAGCCACATGGATCGATAAAGCCAGCCAACCACCCATACCACCGGCGCAGAGAGACTGTTCGACACCGGGAAGATCCTTATGGTGCTCCTCCAACCTACTTCGAGCCACACGCCTATAATCCTCCACTGCAGAACCCTAGTCAGCAAGAGGACAACTTGAGGATCAGCAGACGTTTGGGACGCCTCAAAGGAATGATAAACCAGTTCCTTGATCAGCAGATTCTCACCGAAAACTCCCTGCTCAAGAGAATTGATTCAATCTCTGAAGAGTTCAACAAAAAATTTGATGATATGGCCAATCATGTTTGAGTTCTGGAAGAGCAAACCCACAAGGATGCACAAGCCCTAGCTGGGATGATCCACCAAGTCGCAACAGAGCAGACAAGACAAGGGTATGACATCATACAGAATTCAAGTGATATTGTCGAATCAAAGCAGGAGATTAAAGAAGTAATAGAATCCGCCTCCTGGTATAAAGAGAAAACAGATAAAGAGTTGCAAGAGATCGAGAACAGGCTGAACAAACTCGAGCTCAAAGCACGGGAGATTGATGCAAGAATTGAGCAGATGCCCAACATTGAGCAAATTGAGAGATTTTCTAAGAAATCTCCCAAAAATCCTGATGAAGATGCCCAACAACGCCCTGGTATGAGTTCAATTGATGCTAGTCTACCCAATAAAGAAGCTGGAGAAGTTCGTGTCAAGTACAAGAAGGAAGAAACGGATTATGAGCGAATTATATCCGGAGCCGCGGGTCCGAGCACCCTGACCGCGGCCAAGACCCTTTTTCCCGCGGTCGCGACTCCTCTGACCGCGGGAGTTGGTCGTTCAGATGCACCTCCGGGTTTTGAGAGGAAAATAATACATCTCCTGTCCCAACTTCAACCTCCAGCACCTAAAAAAGCAACTTAGGAAGAAGAAAACCAAGTTTCAGATGAAGAAGCAGATTGGCAGGAATCATTACCCTGTATGATGGCAAAGGAATGTGTTGAAGATTCAGCTGACTCTTCAATCCAAGAAGACCAGACATGCAGCGAGATAAAGATGCCATACATCGATTCAATCATTGAATATGACGCTGCAGCTTTCTTTTGTGAATCCTATTCTGCGTTCGAGACACCAGCCAACACCTACAGAGAAAGGCAAGTTCGAATTCTCCATAAGGTCAAGACTACAGGTCAGTTTCTTATCTCTTGTTCTATCAGAGGAGAAATGTTTAAAAACGTGCTATGTGATTCTGGAGCTTGTCTTGACATGATGTCTAAGGCAATTGCTTTGAGACATGGAATTAAACACCTCCGCAGGACTAGAGCAAAGATTAGTCTAGCTGATGATTCCAATGCAACACCTCAAGGAATAGCTCATGAAATTCCTTTGAGAATAGGAGATTGCATAGTGCCTGTCGACTTCTACATTGTCGAGACGAGAGATGCAACATATCCTGTGATTCTCGGATGGTCTTTTCTAGCAACTTCCGGAGCTATAATGGACTGGCCAAACCGGAGGATTTCATTTGCTAACATCGACAAAGATGTCTTCATAGAAGCTGTCCCATACAACAGCAAAGCAGGAAAACGTTCTGCAACAGAAGAATTTGAAGAAGAACTTTGGAGTGACGAAGAACCTGCTAGGCAAAGCAAGGAGATGTCGAAAAAGACTTGTCTCAGGACAAGGTCTTCTTCATTGGAATAAGTCACGTCCAAAACTCGAGCTAAACGACTTAAAACAAAATCGCTTAATGGGAGGCAACCCATTTAGGTATTGTTTTCTTTAGGATTTTTCTTTCTTTTTCTATTGATCTTTTTCTTTTTCTTAGTTTCAGGTGTTTCTTATAAAACGAAAAAGCCAAAAAAAAATCAAAAAACCCGAAAAACCCAAAAAGAAGGATGGTCCCTGACTGCTCGGCCCAGCAGGAACCAAGAAGAAGCAGGAAGAGGCCGCGAAATAAGCCCCCGCGGTCGCAGACGTTCTGACCGCGGGAAACGCCTCTTCGACCGCGGTCGCGTGATTCTGACCGCGGCCAAGCACCTGTTTACCGCGGTCGCGTGACTCCTGACCGCGGCCAATGGTCGTTGAGATCAAACCCTAACCCCAAACCACCCACCTCACCTCATTTGACCTCACCAATCCCCACTCCACCTCATTCACCACCCTCCACCACCTTCATCACCACCTATCACCTTCCCAAACCTCTTCGAATGAATCCGGTTCATCTCCACCAGCATCCTCGATCCAGGTAAGTTCTCTTTGTCCTTACCAATTCGATTATCTATGCATTTTTCTCATCCAATCTCGACTTGTTTCACATTGAGGACAGTGTGATTTAAGTCTGGGGGAGGATTTCATCCCTTTCTAACCACTTTCTTTCATGAGTCTTGCATTATCTACACTTTTTGCATTTTCCTTAAAGTTTTTCAAAATCGGTTTTCAAAACAAAATACGTTTTAAAGGGAATGGTGAA